TCTCTCTCTCTCTCTCTCTCTCTCTCTCTCTCTCTCTCCCTCTCACCCTCTCTCTCTCTCTCGTTTTCTTTCTATACAGCTGTATATATATGTACGTGTACGTGTATCGTATAGCATGCTCATCTCATGGGACACGTGACACAAGGCCACAGACGCCATCTAGTTTCCGATCCGCAACCGTACATCCTAGCGTCGATGAATTCTGAGATGGTTTTTTCTAATTTATGACTTTAAGCTAAAATATCTCGTCTTGTAGGGAATGTAGAACAAAAGTAAAGAGTTTTTTAATAATATAATTGACCCTAAAGAATCGATTAAGCTCACCTAGAACCTCATAAGTTTAGCCGTCATAGTAAAACAATAAATCATGCCTCCGATCAACGAGATGCTTCGCGTAAATATACACGGTCCGTCTCGCCGCCCGTGCGCGTCGCTTCGCTTATGCGTGCACTTGGCGCGAGACATTACTGTGTCTCTTGATTGGCTGATGTCACTTAACATGAAAAATTTGCCGCGAATGTGAGATTCGTGAGAACTTACGGGAATAAGTTTTTTGCGTTACGTAATAATTTAGTCACGGTTAAATAAAAGCGGTTATGCAAGCACGTAATTTTGATTGAGCTTCTCTCGAGTTCTGGGATACAATTATTTCTGGTAAGTTTTAACCGATCAGCGATGTGAGTTAAGTATTTCTTTGGCTTTTCCGATATATTCTATGATACTTATAAATCTCACTAATAAAGATTCATTTCTCAGTGAGTAAAAAATTATTGATGAAACGTTATTGCAACAATACCCAATGGTGTAAAACGTTTCCCAATATGTAATTTTTATATTGTATCGATAGCATTACAAATGACTTCGCTACTTCAATATTTTTAGAACTTTTAGCAATATTCAATAAAATCATATTACCGTCCAGCAATATCTTTAGGATATTTTTAAAATATGAAGTAGAAATGCTCGAAAGATACATGCAAAATCCATATTTCAGGGTGTTACTTTGCAATGTTCTCTGTTCACTGGGTTTATTATTAGTCTTCGCCACGAACTTGGTAACAAGAATTAGGAGCCATTACGAAATAATCACGAGATGGATGTGATGTGCAGCAGAAAGCTGACACGAGTTAGGCGAATTAAAGTACCACCAGATATTTATCGCGTTTGGAAGCGCAATTACTTAGAATTGTTTCTACCTCCAGATAGAAAGACGACAGGGTAACATTTTCTCGGCGGCAACACTGTCTTCCCACGATCCCTGTGATTCCTCGGACATGACGCCTTCGACGACAGTCGCGGTCAGGATCGCGAGAGACATGACGAACTTCATTCTCAGATATTATTCCATTCTGTACTAATTAGTGAGGTTGCTAACGGTCGGTATAATCATCGTCGGTCCTGTGTTATCGCACCGCGGAAACTTACTTACGAAAGTACCACAAAGAACGTGAGACGAAGAAGAAAGGGAAAAAAATAGGTCACGACGACTCCCCCGAGAATGCCAAGCCTCTCTGGAGAGACGCCCCATAACGATAATAATATAATATACACAATCGATCTAATTACTTTGATAATCTAAATCGTTAATCCCACCACCATTAGTGCGTGAACCGAAAAACCAAACCTCGAGCAGCCGGGGGGCGATGTGATGGCGGATGATGGAAACTAATCCGTGTTATCAAAGAGAGATGCACGCGTACCTGCTACGGCATCTTTGCGAATGAAAAATATAGTTAGTTACAAAAGAAAGCATGTCTAATTAGGAATAAAATATGTGAGACTGAATTGAACTTGAACCAGAAGTGACTTTCTTCCTACCCCCTCCTCTGCCCCGAAAGATATCGTGTGCCCGCACACAGGAAAATATCATTCTGCTGCTAAAGAAAGTGATTGTATAGTTTATTTTCCTTCTTTTGAGTTACGATTATCTTCAGCAAAGAATATTTTCTTGATAACGTGCTAATTAAAATATATTAAAGGCCTTTACGGAACTATGACATTATTCTAGAAGTGTCAAAATGATGATTAAAATTTCGATCTGAGCCATTTATCACATCGGTAGAGTGCTGTTTTGCTTTTGAATACTTCTCTACTGATCACTTTGCAAGTTGTACTCGGATTTCTGAATTCCTATGCGCATATTGCGATTAATGACTGTGCTTTCTAGACTTACTGTTTTCTAGACGAATTGCACGTGAATTGCCATAATTTTGCAATAAATTGCGATAAATTTTAACTATCATTTTGGTACTTCTGGAATAGTTTCGTGAAAGTAACTAAATCTTTAAAGTAATTAAAACATAATATAGAGTAATAGACAAAATACCAAATTTCTAAAATTCTAATAAATTTACAGATGTAATTTTTACTCTCAGCACTTATGTAAGCATTCTTTATTGATTGATATCAAAATTCATTTATTTGACTCTGGACTAAAGAGAACGGCTCTTTGTCAATAAAATACTCCCAGACAGCACAATGCCCAAACTCGGGTCATAAGACGTCTTTAAGACATCTTCAGGACATCTTTATGACAAGTTTATAAGGTATTGTCTTAAAAATGTCTTAAGGACGTCCTAAAGACGTCTTATGATTCGATTTTGGACATTTGAGGGTCCGGGACTCATTATTCTTAAAATATATTTATATAAATTTATATAAATTTATATAAATTTAATAAAAGCTTATTTGCATGCACTCAAAAGACGAACTCATTCTTTTGACAAGAATATTATAAAATTTTATTGAAGAAAAATTTGGTTCCACTATTAGAATTAAGAATGTGTTTTGAGTGAATTTGATGTTCATGAAATGAACGTATGATAGATTTGCGGATATACAAACTTTAGAAATATTTGAAACAAGTCACTTTTAAATGCAGTATGTATTTTTATGTGTGCGTAGATATTTTGCGAATAAAACGAATCTTTGTCAAAATGTAGTTCGGTATCGCTAGTGATTTATACCTAACAATAATTCGAATCACTACTCTGTAATTTTTAACAAGAAACGTCTTACCAGTATCATCTCTTTCTGCTGATAACTAAAATGCACAAGTAAAGGCTATTTTGCGTTCGAAAATGATTGTTGTTTGCACGAAATATCATCATGTGTGAATAAGTGATCACCAAGTATCGACATAGAGTATTCACGCGTAGTTTGTGGTTTTGCTGTATTGTGATAATGCTTAACAACATCTAATAGCAGCTAGTATGTCGGCTGATATTGCAGACACCTGACTCACCGGCATCATTTTAACCGGTTTATTAAATAATCAAAATGAATAATTTATAAGAAAAAGAAAAACATCGTTACCTGTGATGTGCTGCTGATATAAAATTATACTCTACTATTGTACGTATTGCAAGTACTCTATTCTGATAATATTCACTCAACAATTTAATCCGGCAGGGAATGTTTGTAAAAGGGGGCGTATTTCTTGCGCGGATGCAACGTTAAGTTACCAAACAATGGAACTTTTTCCTCAAAACAGCACTGAAATATTTTTACACGCATTATAATATCACATTACAGTTTTGTTCAAGAAGAGAACGAAAAGATCGAAGGAGAAAGCATCAGTTGTCGCGTATTATTTTTTTTCTTGATCGTTTCACGAGTCGTAATACGGAAAATCCGTACAAATCAAATATGGTACTGTTATCGGTGACGATTGCGTTGACTTTCGGCTATCTCACTGAACGATAATAAAAGCCGATACCTCGTGGCTTCACGACTTCTTCCCAAGAAGTGCGAGTGCGGAACGAGCGCGAGAAACGCGGGTTCTCGCGCGAGCAGCGATGCGAGACTAAGGAACGAATAGTCATCGACAGTACTAGGAAAGTAGCCTACCTGCTGTGAATGTATATACAGGGCGGCTCGGAAAGAAATGCGGCTCGGCCAACAATCTTTTCGAGATGATAGCTTCGCCAATCCGACAGCCATATAAATTTAGACGTCTCGGCATTTAGATATCCAATGCTCGAATGAAAATCCATTACGGTTTCGAGAGCACGACGAAACCTGAGAATAGATTTACGGTATGGATGAGCACGATAGAAGACGAGCCTAACGAAGACACCAACTGAGACATAGTGGTATGTATTGTCGAAAGACTCAAACTCGATATCTCCGGAAGCGATTAATCGATGTCGCAGAAGCAGAAAAAATTTCATTAAACCCTGGAATAGATATTGCAATCTGATGCATCATCAAAGGAAATAGAAAATAGGATAAAAAAATACTCAATTGAAATCTGAAAGTGTATTGAGAGAAACGAATATGATAAAATGCTCAATAACCGATATTCTTAGTTTTTGACATTTTTACAATTTCAATTTGATCGGATATTAAGGCGTATTTAACAGAGAAGTTAATAAATATATTAATAAATTTCCACACGCACATATCTTAACCACTTTGCTCGTCAAGAAAATCAGCATTACCGACCCAAAAATGGCAAGAACTAAATACTGTTTGATTTTTAAAAAAGTTAGTACTAAAGTTAGTACTAAGTTAGTACTTTTCGAGTCGCTGAATACAAATTTGAGATCAAAATTTAAAAGTTCAAATTAAGGTCAGATTCGAAATCTGACGACTTTAAAAACCTCCAGGTATCGAGTTCCATCCAAATCAAGTCACTTTTCGTATTTTGATTCGCCATATTGAATCTGCCATCTTGAAATTTCGAAATTTTAAACTATGATTCGAAATCAGTGACTCTGAAAACCCCTGAGTACCGAGTTTCATCCAAATCAAGTAATTTTTCCATTTGGTCCGCCATATTGGATTTGACAAAAGTAATCTCAGATTCGAAAGCAGCGACTCTCAAATACCAAGTCTCATCATAATCATTTTTCGTATCTTGATCCGCTATATTTTATCTGCTATTTTAAATTTTCAAATTTAGTGTTCAGATTCGAAATTAGCAACCCCAAAAACCCCTGGGTACTGAGTTTCATGAAAATCTTGCTAACGGGAAAAAAAAATAAAATGAAGTGCGTATTAGTGCGTCAATGTCATTTTTGGTACAACCTTTATTTGACACAAAAGTGCGTCAATGCCAACGAAGTGGTTAATATTTAGTAAAATAGCCGGCACTCTCGGTTTTTAGTACTTTTGCGGATTGGATTTGATGAGATTTTATAAGGCGATATGGGAATTAAAAAAAGGAATCATTAAATAAATAATGAATCCCTATGCATGCATCTTAATATTCAGTAAAACCTTCGCAAGAGTGCCGAGAAGTGACAGACGCCGCAACATGTACCGACTATTAGACTTTTCATACCTTTGCTTTTATCCCATCCTATATGTACCGTTCCTTCCAGCATGAAAGCAAGCAGCAGATATGCGAAAATCGGTTCGCCGGTATCTCACACATGTTTAGTAGTGGGGAGATCATTAACATTTGTTTTACGGGAAATCGAAGATAAGGTTGGCTCAAGCGGCAGCGGCTAGGATATCCCAGTTCCGACTTTTCTCGAAACGAGACGAATTTCCTTGGTCGTATTGATCGTATTTCACGGGGTCGCCATTCCTACATGTTGGCGCGGATCGAATGCCAAGAATTAAATCGTATGAGGAAGTGCAGACAGACGTTTGAATCATTCGTAATCGCTGCGATATCAGAATCGCGCGCTCGGCAAAACGTTCCGCTGTTTCACGCAACGCGACGTTTATGTCTTACGCAATGAACTAGGTGCTGATTGCTAGTTGTTGCGCATAATAATGCGCAAAACAATGCTCATAAGTATAATTATCTGCATACAAATGAGTTGATATGAAATTATTCCTGTTGTTACTAGTTGAAATAACTTGTTATGAAAATCGCAATCTTTGGTGCCCTCGGCGAGGTTTTGAAACCTGAAATTTTATATCTTACTTTACACTACAACGGATCTATATTTTTACACTATAAAAATATTGCCGCCAGTCCTCCGTTTTTCGCTATTATGTATGCGAGTCCGTGGTTATACACAGACGAATTTCTTAATATGTATGATCTTCTTGACATTAAGTGTCTGCTTGATAATAGTAGCAATTGTAGTAATCCTTGTAGTAATCCTTGTAGTAATCCTTGTAGTAATCCTTGTAGAAGGTATGGAAAAAAGAATAATAAAAAATATAAAGAACTGAGCGTTGGACAAAGGAAAAGTTGAAAAACGCAAGGATTACAATCGAACAGAACATCAATACTGAAAGAGATATTATTTGTAACAACCGTCCGGCTCACACATAACATCAAAATCTATATTATTGTTACTAAAATGTTACTGCAATGTTTACAATAAACTAGAACACCTCATTGCGCGCGCTTCACGCGCGCCACTTTAGCTTTTTCGTTGTATTTATAATTTATATTATAACATTCGTTTTTACAAATTATATTCTCAGCAAACAATGTTATATGTAACTAATATGTATGTTACATATACATGTAACATTGTGTTTGCTGGGATTACAATAAATATCAAATTTAGATGACGCGAACAACACAACCTGATCTGTCACCGCGGCTAACAGCTGTAAGCGGCACGAATTCAACTGCGACGGGATCGAGACAATCGAGACGGTCGAGACGGCCAATTAGCGCCGCGGAAAAGAGGCTTCACCCACTTCGATACATTCGAGATTTAGTTAACACGCACTTTTTCTGATAGGATTAAATTTTTTGCCATATATAATTATTTTCTTTACCGCAGAATAACACGTTAATATTACTAAAACATTAACTTAAAATAGTGACTCCCTGGGAAAAAGAGGATACGGATTTTATTCATATATAGCTATATATATAATCATATAATAATTATATAGACGACGTTTAATAGACCACACACGGCGAAGAGGACCGCTGAATTGAAAGCGGAGCGGACAAATGCGCCGAAGAGCGTAAACTATCAGCCGACTCCGACGATCACCCGCGACGGCTCCGCTCCGCCCGCATCTGCATCGGCGGTTGCGCGGCGCCGCGACGCTTTCGTCGATTGCACGCCTCGCTCGCTCGCTCGTCGTGGATGAAGTAAGAAGAACCTCGCTCTTCGCCACACTTTATCGGCATTTATGTAAACGACGACGGGGAGAGGCGATTGGCTTTTTAGCA